TCCCTCGCGCGCAGATGATTCTATTCCGCTACATCTCAATTGGAGACTCCAGTTTGGGTTTCGCCGGCGGTCCTCGACTCAAGGAACCCCCGACTTCAGTGCTTATCGACATCTTGACTCGGTCCCCGCATCTCATCGACAACATACGCAGGCTGCGGCTTTGGGGGTGTGACAGGGAGAGTCTAGTTGCGTTGTCGAAGCTACCCTGGTCGCATTTGTCCTCGCTGTGGCTCTCTCGGTCCCAGACGCAGGTAGAGGATGCTCTTCGTGAAGCGACAGAGACGCCGGAGGCCATCGGTGCGCCCGGGGCGATCGGAGATGTGTCCTTCTTAGCTCCCCTCGTCTCCCTGCCCTCACTGAAGGAACTGCGTGTGGGGTTCTGGAACGAGTCTTGGGCCAAAATATTGGATCTCCGTGGTCCCAATGTCCATTTAATCGGGTTACATGGGGTCTTAGCACCAGGGATATTGGATTATGCGGACGAGCCTTCACAAAACGTAGTCACGCACCTCGAGCTTTGTCTCGTGCTTCCCTACGACTGGAGGACCTCAATCTTTGGCTTTTCAAATGAGGCAGCCGAGCCCTCTCATCTAACACATCTCAGCTTGGGGCTCAATGGACCAGGGATACCGCCAATCTTCGCCCTACTCCACGCCTTCCCACCATCTATCCAAGACCTCGAAATCTACGTAGGCGGTGAGTCCATATCGACACCCGAGCATCGTTCGTTCGCTGACCGACGCAGAGGAAGACATACCGAGCTGCCACTCCCTCCAACTTGACTGCCTCCCTCGGCTGGTGCATCTCTCCATCTCCGGGGTGCCACAAGCGCTCACAGCCGTCCATCGAGCTCTCGAGCGCCGCCCCGCACAGGCGTTACACACGATCACCTACATTAATTTCGATCCGTCGGCCATCGTCGGTGTGCTCCCAACGTTGGAGTCGTCCATCATCGCAACCAATATTCTGGCGTTGCGTGTGGTTGAATTTCAGTTCAAGTTCGGTGACCAGAAGAGTACTTGGAAAAAGATTGGGAAGCAGGAGATGAAGTGGAAGTTGCGCATTGAGCAAAAAATGCCCGTGCTGTTTGAACGTGGGATCTTGGTCGTGGATTTCGAGGAGTAAATTGTCGAGGGGTGAAGCGGTGAAATTTGAACACCGCTGGCCCGGAATTCTGGGCCATTTTCTTGTGTTGTGAAGTCCGCTCGCTACTACCTTGTATGTAAGAAATTGAACCATTCTTGTTCTTCACCATAGTCGAGGGAGTATCCGAGTCCGGACCCTCACAATCGATGATCAGAAGAGGTAATTGTAATACATGGCTCAACCGTAACTCAACTCGGTGAAAGAAGTCCTCACGCGAGATCGACACATTGAATGGACGGGTGGAACTAGTGTTCAAGCCCAACATATAGTATTATACTACCAGAGATCCGAGAAACCCAGTTCACAGTTCAGTACCGCCAGTTCGGGTTCCCGACTTCGCACACGATGTACATAGTAGGACATGAAGTATTGATTCACGATGTTGTACATCCTGTGATACAAATTGAATTTGGCAGCATTCACAAAAACAAGGCCTAATGGGCATTTTCCACACTATTACCGGCATAAGACGGCGGAGCCGCTGAACCCCGTTGGATTTCCATCAACGTGTTCATTTGGTCCTGCAATTCTTGAATTCGATGGTCAATGTTAGTGATTGAAACCACCCCTGATGCGCTGCTCGTCGGGGTTGATGTTTCCCGCATCTCGGGTACGGTATCGGTATTACTGGTTGGCTCACTCCTACCGATCAGAAGCGGGGAGCTCGACAGCCCAGCGGGTGGCCATGGCCGTTTCGAATCCACCGGTATGGAAGCTGCGTTGCGCATTTCTGAAGCAGTATTCTCAGATGTGTAGATGAAAGGCTCGGCCACTGAATGATTTGGGAACATGTAACACCCAATTGACTTGTGCCGACTTACCAAGGCTGAGTTCTCTACGCTCTCCACGTGCACGCTCTGGACGATCTCGAGTACTTGAAGTACTTTCGTCCTGCGAGTTTCGTCTCTGGCGTCGGAGCAGCCAGAATACCAATCCCACCAAGCAGCCCAGGGCTACACATCCCCCCACAACTCCACCTACAATGGCTCCAAGTCCATCATGGTGTTTCTTCGGAGCTGGACCCGGAGTCAGACTCGGAGCTAGACTCGGAGCCAGACTCGAAGCCGGACTTGGGGACATAGAGAAGTTAGGCTTCTCCGCGATGGTTGCAAATGAAGGGGCATGTGTGATATAATCGATCTGCGCAGAAGGGACCGGCAGGCCACCGATATTCGAAATTTTGGCACTAAAGGTGTGATTGCCAGATGAGATGTTCGTTGCGTTGAAATAAACAAAATGGGGCTTGATAATATCTTCTCCAGCGGTGATTGTTGTTGGGTTCGTGTCCCCGTCCAGCGTGAACTCCATTTCCAAGAACCAATCGATTCCTGTATTTATCCCCGCCGGTGGTCCGGGCGTTACACCGGATATGAGCAGGGATGTACCTCGGAAGGATGGTCAATTAAGTTCGAGGTCTACTAACAGTGGGGACACACCTGCAAACTGGAAAGTGAATGAATCTCCCATAGTATTGCTGCTGTGAGTGCTATTTCCATGAGGAGGCATGTTGGCAAGAAAGGTGGTGCTTTCGGTGAAATATCCCTTCATGAAGGAGTTCATTGTGGGAACCGTGTAATTGATCGACAGGTTGTAGTCGTCCTTCTTGGTGTTCCAAGAGATCTCCAGACTTGTGTCGTCCACAAGGATTGTCTGTCCTCGAAGGCTTGTCTCGTTGGACGCTGTCACAAGGATATAGTCGACTGAGAGACCATTGGCATCGCTGAACCCTATTTGACCCAGTTGATCGGAAGCTCTCATGCCTGAGGCAAGGAATTGGCCGCCTTGAGCCGGCGCAGGGTAGGTGTATGGCACCCAAGACGTGGGGTCTGTGATACTCGTACCGTCCCGCACCGGGTCGGAGATGTGAATTGTTTGATTATACCCGGTGGGGGGCGTAACACCAAACAATGCAACTGAGACCCCTGGGAACCATTGGCAGTCAGTGCCTTGGAAAGCTATCACGGCACCTCAGACGCACCATCAAATTGAATGGGCCAATTCCAGGGGCTATTGCTCTGATTGAAGGTGAAGGGAATAAACAATGTGTTGTTGTAACAACTGAGGGCGATGTGGTCCAGATGAAATCCTGTGGGCTCGCCAAGGTTGGAGCTAGTGAATGACAAGGATTGTTGCAAAAGATCGCTGTCGTCGATTATAACGGTGACGTTTTCCGACATTTGCCAGTGACAGAGGGGAGGGGAGGAGATGGGGGGAGACTCAAGGAACCGCGCGCGGTTTCACACATTGAAATAGTTCTTCTAATATGAGGCTTCGACGTTCAACGTTCATCATGCTCACCTCCCGCGCTCTTCCCAGATGGAGTTCTGGATCTAAGAATATCATTCATTTCCCGGCCTCCACGATTGCACTGGCCTCGGGGAACAGTCGGTTGGGAAGTTCAAGCCAACACTTCCTCTGAAGGGCCCTCGAATGAGCGAGCACATTGACAGAGGCAGATACAGTGCGCGGTCTACAATACCACATGTAGCGGTCCTATCTTTCATCTTTCTGTACTTAGAAGAATCAACGCGGAAGTGAATCATCGAATCGCAGAGCACGGAATATTTATCGAGACTCAAAATACGAATCCTGAGAGCCCGGTGGGCATATTTAATTATGCCGCCCCAATGCCGCCTCATGGAACCTGCGGGGGAGTACTTGAATAGGGTTCTAGCCCGGAAATCACGGAGCCGCAGTCCCTTGTAGACTCGACCTGCGTGAGTTTACACCGCCGTTCGTTGTTCCACCTCCACGGATGCAGTTGGGCACATACCTTCCAACATCCAGCAGTTGTCGTCCGACTGCTTTCCCGGGACAAGCACAATTGTGCGAATCTCGAATTCCAAAAGGCCAAGGTACAACTACTGTATCAGACAGAACAAGGCAACAAGGAATGGTGACAACACGTCGCGACGGAAATACACGGCGCAGTACGTTGTTCTGGATGAGATCCCGGAACCAAACAGCGACAGATCCCGTAATGTTGGGTGCCTACGAGGCTGAGGTGGAGCTACGGTTGTCCGGGATGCAATACAGCCTTTGATTAATTGCCGTCGAGGTCCTGGGACTGGGACAGCGAGAGATCCCGTACTGTGTTTTTGCGCCGAGTGAGAGTACGAGGCTTCTTACTATTTGGATTATGGCGCCTCAGGCCTCAGTGTAACCTCTGTGTGTCGTTAAGGAAGAGCAGTGGCAGGGGGTATGGAAACATCGAGTCCGTGGAGTCAGTCTCAGACTCGGGCGACAAATGCAAATTAGTCGGCGACTCGGGAGTCGGCGGAGAACTCTGAGGTGAGTCGGAGTCTCAGGTGACGTTGAGGTGACGATAAGGTGGCGGACCAGGAGCTGAAGACCACACACAGAGACACGAGTAGGCCGAAAGAGAAAGCCAAGAAACCCGATTGATTACATCGCAAGTTCGGGCGAGTTCAAGTTCGTGGTGAAAGTAAAGAGAGTCGAGTCACGTGCCTGATTAGACCGATTTCATCAAGATTTCATCGACATCATCATCCCATGCCGGATTGATCGATCGATTGATCCGATTTCAATGCTTGTCTTCTGCGTCCATGTCTGCGCTACCTCCCAGCTCGAACCGCTCTTGCGAACGGTCAGAAACGACAGCTGGCAAGCGCTGCGATATTCGTCGAGGTTCTGTGCTCTGCGCTGAAGGCCTCGGCAGGATCGACCTCGCGCACCGGAAGCCCATTGTACCCGATTATCGGAACGCATGCGCATTTTCATCGAAAGATCTATTTACTCGCCGCAAATCAACGTTGGAACGCTGCATGCCATATTCAGCTACTGTCTTTGCGCCTGGTTGGACTCTGGGGGTGTCGTCAATCACCGTCCACAACTCCCTCTTAGCTCAGCTGGTAGAGCGTGTCACTAGTAACAAGTACGTTATGACGAGGTCAGTCGTTCAAATCGGCTAGCGGGAACGTCTGTAACTGACAACGATGGTATGGTTGCTTGTCAGTGCTACAGTTTTTCTTCGTTCTTGCGCCTAGGCCGCCTCGCTTCACACCTGGTCTCCCACTTTTTCCTCTCACGCATTCCCCAGCGTACGCAAGGTGCTCGAGGGACCTCCGAGTCGCTCCCGTGGAAGCTCACGCCCGTCGCGTTCTAGTCACCCAAGTTCGAATTTTTCCTCACCGGACTCCTCGAGTCCGAGTTCACGCGCAAAGCGGCTGTCCAGGCATTGAAGCCCGAGATAAGTCAACTCCCTCCGAGATTCCCGGAGATGAAGCGCGCTGGTATGGGACTTGCATGATGTTGCATCGCGCTTGACACTGCAAGTCCGTATCATCATCATCGCACCCAACTTGGTCTGGCAGACCCCATCCCAGACGTCGGCTTCGTATTGGTCCCTTGGATGTGGACCCATTCGATTCGTATAACACGTTGGAGAAAGACTGGGAGAGGGAAACGCGGTTAGAGGCGTGGGATTCTTGGACGCGGGCGGAGTTGTTTATTGCCAAGGGGCGTCGAGGCCCGAGCGGGAGCTTCAGCCCAGTTCGTGGATGTATAAATTGTATCGGCGTACTCCGTCTCTTGAAGTCCAAAAAGCTGGTCTCAAAGCCAAGTAACTGAATTGACTGAAGAACTTGAAGTTTACAAAAATTCGTCCCGAAAATGGTTATGACATGATTCATGAGGCTAGGTCACCCACTGGACTCATCTGCAGCACCAGTCAGTGAATAGAACAGACGTGTTTGAAGTTTGACCGTACCTTCTCGAATGAATGACTGAGGATCATGGGATCCTCCCATTCCAAGCGCCACGGACGCACAACTAACATATTCGTTGTCAGGACCGTGACTTCCCATCTTGCACAGTTGGATTTCCGAGACCGCCCAAGCACCGAAGTCCACGAGGCTTGTCCTTTCGCCCGCCGCGGCAGAATACGACGTCTCGGATGCGCGCTCGAATATCTCGCGGTAGGAGAAGGTCCGAGGATCACGACGGGGTTTTCGGTGACTCGCATTGATTAGCGTGCAATGAAGCTGTGGTGATTTCAGATGAGAAAGACCAGAGAAGGAGCGAACAAACTACTGAAGGCCGTGCGGCCTCCTCAATAAAACCCTCTTGCCGGAATTTCTGGCTGACGAGATCTACATACGCCGCATGAGACGCCGACAGCAGCATGAGAAAAGCATACACACCGAGTATCCGTATAACCTTCTGCGCATCCTCCTCACTCTCGTCGCTCGGGCTGACGTACAACACTCCCGCCTGTTGGCGCTGCGTCGTCTTCAAAACACCCATCTTGTCCAGCTTGACGACGGGCGCGCGCCGCTGCGTGATCTCCTCCAGTTCAGGTGTGAGAGAGCGCAGGAGGTCGATTGCAGCGGATAGAGTCTTCCCATTGGATGATTGTTCCCCGTCCGCAGAAGAAAGCGCCATGACACCGAGTGTAAAGTGCAGCCGCCTGGGGTCGACGAGGATGGATCGGTCGAGGCCCTCGATGGTGGGCGTGGTACCAGCGGCAGGCATGAGAGAGTCGTGGAATTGATGTATTCGGTCTCGAAGCGCTGGGTGGTGTCCCTAGAGAGCGCTCGAGTCGGACTTGGACAAGATTTGACAGGACTGACTAGGGGTACGGAAAGAACTACGTGTCCGAATGAGAGCGAGTCGACGAAGAGGAGGGAAGAACCTACAGTGCGTCGGCCGCGGAGAAGAGTTGGCGCTTTTTTTCTGTTGCCTTTTACCGCCTCTTGGGCGCCCAGTACCGGCACCGATGTTCTTCGAGACGATATCCTGAGAATCGACGGTCCGTGCTTTTGAGGCCATATTATTGCTAGCAAATGGTGCTTGTGATTCACTTTAAATACAAACGCCTCGACGCATTTCGACTCACATGTATCGCTGTGTGGTGGAGGCCAGCCGGGACCGGGACATGGAGTCAAGAAGAAAGCCGGTGGACCAAACAACCACAAGTAAATACGTCCATTGTTCCCAAATGGGCAATTTATAGAGGAAGCAATGTGTTGAGGCAGAGTAGGAAAATGATAAGGGCATGCATTGCCTGTCAGTTCACTACATAGCCCAGGTATGAAGGACTCGGAATGAAGAGCCTGCGCGCCCGCTGCCCGACATTGTATTGTCGGGATTCGTAGAGCTTCATCCGACCCTCCCTGAATCTCCACCGCCCTGGCTACCACCATCCTCATGCTCATGTCCGCACCCTACCCCTCCTTCGTGTCCTTGCTCTCTTCTAGCCCGCGGCGCCTCGTCCTCATGAGCCATAGGCCGGCGACTACGGCGAATGCCACCGGTGACCACGTCCACTCCGCACGCTCGGGGTGTGGGCAAAGAACATGAAGTGCGAGAGGCGCGCGTAGGGGGTGGTATCAGTTCTAGGAACGAGGGAATCAGCATCACTTGCTCTGTATACCTGTGGAGAAAGAAACGTACTCAATCACGAGTGAAGCATTGTTCTGGATGCAGGAGGCCATGTAGATGGATTCAAGGCTGGCGGACCATACACCCGCTCGCGTCCTCGTACAAGAATTCGGAGACGGCTGGCAGCAGTGGCAATGGTGTCTACAGACAGATGTAGAGAGACGGGGAGTCAGGATATGGTACCTCCTCGATCCTTGACGTCCGTCACCTCCGGAACGATGGACGTCAACGGCACTGTAGCACCGTTACGCCTACGCTTCAGACAAAGTAAGCACCCGCGCGCCATTGTCCGAATCCCGAGCTCGGTGGCGTTGCGTTGCGTGGCCGTGGCGGGTTACAGATACCGGCGAAATAGAGACGAAGCGGCTTCCTCCACGGTATTGCGGGTGCCATCGTACCGGATGGGAAGGATGACGAGGCTCGGGGAGCTTCATTAGGGGGGTCAGACTGAAAGACGGGCTAAAAACCATCGACACACCTCGAAGACCCAAGTGGGATCCGTCACACACTCGCAACGTCTCGTACGACCACCTCCACGCCCACTGGGTCGTCCTCTGAGTGCTCCCCGAATGCGTGGATTACCCGCAGCGTTTGATTGTACGTCAGAAGGGCAGATCGATGGGAGCTGACGCTACCGACGCACCTCGACAAGAACCCTCAATCGCTTGCTACGTTGACCCTCTGCTTCCCCTCCGCTGCAGAGAATTTGTGCTGCTCCTCGTGCTGTAGGCGTCGGGTACAGCAGCGTTGATGGACGTGGCCCGACAGATCGAGGGGAGGACAAGGAGGGAGCAGGGCCCAGGTACGATGAGCATGCCACTAGCGTGACCGTCAAAAAGCCGCATAGCACGAGAGCTGGGCGCCTCGAGTCAAGGGAGCTGTCGCCGTCGATGGATGGCATGGACACCGCACGGATGACGAATCTGGGCTAGGGAGTCGTGGAACGTGGAGTGCAAGAAAATATGGGCGCGAGGCAACACACTGCCATAGTGAGTCGAGACGGACTGGTGCATTCCGGATGCCAAAAGGCTGTCGATTGAAATGAGTGCTGAGAGGCGTGTCGCAAAAAACACACACCAAAAAGCCCTAGGAAAGTGGACATAGTCAACATGAACCCCGTGGGCGAGGATGAAGAAGCGGCCAGTGGCTAGAAGGGTCGACGCCGACATCGGGGTGCATCGAGGAGAGGAAAGGCGGATCAGCGCATGCCGTAGCGCATTTGACGTCGATCTCTCTCTTCCGACAACCACCACCATGCCACACCACTGCCTCTCGATTCAAGAGATTCTACGAGAGATCTGCTACCACCTCAATCCTTACGGCAAGGGGAGTGGATACACCGAATCCTGCAATCATCCGGCCCAGGCATCCCTCGCCGCCTTGGCGACAACATGCAAGGCTTTCTCCGACCCAGCTCTGGATGTGCTATGGGTGACGGCCAACCTCTCGCACCTCCTTGTCAGCGGCATGCCTGACGACTTCTGGCACGTCAACCGCGACGCAGGGGGCCCGGAGTATGTTTACGTGAGTCTCGAAAGCGTGTTGGTTCCTGGTCTCATTGGAAACAAGGAGCCCCTTCGTGCGATCGCCCCTTCGGACGGGGAAAGACTGGGCCTCTACTCTTCCCGTATCAGACACCTCAGAGCGGAGGAGCGGACGGTGAATGCAACCACCTTGTCGGCGCTGGGCATCGATTTCCGCCGTATACAGAGAGTTTCTTGGTTCGACCCTCTGGACGATTTCCAACGATTCCACTCCACGTTTCTGGGACCCACATTCACCAGCGTCAACTTCCTCATCTACTCGGAGGCACAGCTCTCGACGCTTGCTGGCCAGCACCCCCAGCTGAAGAATGTGTATGCCAAGTTGTACAATCACAGTGCAGCATTTTCCGCATTCCTCGGCGGTTTACAATCCCCAGAGACGATTACAGTCACGGTTGTGACTGGTGAAGCTCTAGCTCATCTTGCCTCGCGGCCCAATTTGCGAACTTTGCAATTAAACACCGGAAGCCATCCCGACCGCTCCTTTCCCGACGACCTCCCTCAGTTGGCGACAAGCATCCGGGCGTTTCCGTCCCTCAAAGAGCTGGCGTTTGATGCCTCCACACAAGGTGTGCGCCAACTTTTGGGCTGGTGCACGGACGTGCCACTGGAGGATATAGCCATCACGATCTATTCGGATGACTTTCCTAGGGTGGCTGAGTTGAAGGAGCTATTTGGGACTCTTCCTGCGGCCATTTCGCACGGTTCGCTGTCGACCTTTGACTTGGACACGGTTCTTCATCCCAGGAATCTCACCGAATTTGACGGATTCGAGGATTGGGTTGATTGTCTGATTCCCAGCGACTTCATCCTCGCCCTCATCCACTTCTCGAACCTCACGACCGTGCGCATCCGCTCGGCTGTCGGTGCTGATTTCGACGATGACGACGCGTTGAAGTTGGCACGCGGCTGTCCGCTGCTCAAGACCGTCAATTTGGGTGCATATGACACTTTTTCGGGTCGGCCTCGTGCTACATTGCGTTGTCTTCATC